TATATTAAATTATTAAATATTATTAATTATATAATAAATACTAAAATAGTTATACTTAATTAAAATAGGAAACTGGGAATAATACATGATTACATAATGTCTATTTTATACAAATTTTCTCATATATCATGTTTATTTTTTTATATTAAAATGTATTAAATATAGAAGTTCCAATAAATATTTTATAAATAGATAATAAACATATTTTAAGAAAAATATATTAATTTCTAAAAATATCTTTTTTGTGCAATTTAATATGGAAAAAACTAAATGTATTATAATATATGTTATCACATATAGAATTTGCAATAATATAACTTAATAAATATTAATTTTGTGTTCGCTTTTTTAAAGTATATATGTATTTGTTTCCATTATAATAACCTTTCTTTATATGTATGTTTATCATAAATTGAATTATTTTATATTAAGTTCATGTTTTTTATCTTATTTTATGTTCTTTAATATATAATCTCTGTCTCTCTCTCTCTCTCTTTATATATATATATATATAGGAACTTTATTTATTTAAAGATAAAACTCAAACATTACTTTGGATGAGCCAATAACAATTGCTATTTGAAAAAACTTGTTATTTATTGATTTTAGAAAAAACTATTTTATATGAAATATGTTGTTTTTGATAAGGTTCATTGAACAAGAGCATTTAACTTTTGTATTTTTTGAGATGTCAAGGTAACTAAATTTTTTTAAATGACATCTTTATTTTTTAAATACTTTTTAATACTGTGTTGTAGCCAATAAAACGACAAATTTAATGATCTGTAATAAAGTGACCTTTATCCTTAAAATATGCATTATTTCTTATAACTTCTATATTCTCGATCTAGAACAATCTAGAGTGCTAATAATGGTTAGTTCCTTGTTTATAAATAATTACTATTTGCTAAGTCAATGTCAAATTTATTTAAAATTATAAAAATTTTACTTCGGTAACATTGAATCTGTATTACTGAATAGTACACATGATAAGAAAATGCAAAACACGAGTGTGAAAAAAGTTGATATGATATGCTGATTTACGATAAATGAAAAAAAAAGTTATGCATGCAGTAACTCTTCATGCAAGGAAATTTATTAATTGGCAACAATGTGTCATACTTTTAACAATTTATTGAAAATGTTGTAAAAAGAACTGACAGTTTCAAAAGTGTAAAATACATTTGTGGAAAAAACTTGCACAAAATGAAGCAGAAGAAATTACAGTTTAACATTTGTAGCCATGTTTTGAGGGTGAAGGTCATTTCAAGTTCAAGTTGTTACAAGTCATTTCGTCTTTCATTGGCTACTATATAATACTAAAAAGAATACGGGGTGTCAATTAAAGTCACCTTATACCTCGAGAAATATAAGGCATACAAAAATTGAAATGATCTTGTTCAATGAGTCTCATAAATACAATACATTTTACATAAAAGTTTTTTTCTAAAATCAATAAATAACAAGTTATTTCAAATGGCAATTATTATTGATTCATTTCATATGTGTGTGTGTATGCGTGTGTTGTGTGTGTTGTGTGTGCGTGTGCGTGAGAAAAAAAACGTAATTTAGTCGTATATTTACTGATATTTTTCCCCAGATGTTAATAAAATAAAAACGGAAGAAAAGCGTTAAATTAATTATATATGTATATAATAAATAAATAAATAAATAAATAAA